GGGGGCCGCCCGGGCCCCCCGCCACGCCGCCCCGCCGCCGCCATGTTGCTGTCAGCTGCTCCGCGCCCACTTCCGGGGGGGCGGTGCGGGCGTCATGAATATTGCACAATGTCGAGAATATTCATGAGGCTGCTGAATATTCATGAACGGCCCGTTGGTCACGCCCCCGCGCCGGGGGCCGCTGCACCCTGCGTGCGCCGAGGGGGCGAATCCCGGGAGAGGCTCTGGGAGCGGAGCATCCCCATTACGTTACCGCCGACACGCTGGAAACCAAGGAACTGGGGACACCTCCAGCTCAGAAAAAAGAGAATCCAGCATAAAAAAGGATTAGATCCATTATAAAATCCCTTTATATATAAAAAAATGAATTATAGAATTAAGAGAACTCTTGCAGCACTTGTTTTATTTCTTTTGGGTAATCATGGAATCCCACCAGTTTTTTTTTTTTATTATTATTTAGTAGAATAGAGTAGCATTTTGAAAGAGCCAATGACACAGTAAGCAGGTGCATCTCCTGTCTCTAGCTTTGCCAATTAAATAAAAGGAGAGCCAGGGCTAGGCCCCATACAAAACCTAAAATTGTTTCCTAAGGTGATGTTAGTATCAAATATTCAGGTCACACACTGGCAGACTGCTAAAAACAGACCCCTAGCAGATAGCTGTGAACTCCTGCATAACTACTACATAAAAGAACTGCTGAAAAATAACAAAATCAGTATATATTGTCATTTTTCAGTTACTCAAGCCAAACCAACCTCCATTTTTTTTTAAAAAAAAACATAATTTACCTTCATGACAGGTTGTAGGGGACTGTTTTTCAAACATAAATTAACATGCAAGTCGCATATTTCAAGATTTTTCTTTTTTTTTAAAAAAAGGTATGTCAATACACAAAGAATCTCCTATAGACTAAGTACAGCTGTATTAAGTTTCTAGATAAAAGAATAATAATTGAACCATCAAACCAAATCAAGCTCTAATTAAAATGTAGAAAGTTATATAGAACATCTACTTATTATTATTAGTGCTAAAGAAGTCCATTGCAGGGCTATTAGCTGTGTTAGTGAACACTGTCCTCTTGATTCTGCCCTCTTTATATCCAGGTATTAAATGAAGTAGCAATCTGCAAGGGTTGCAGAAGGATGAAATCTTTAATGAAGCACACATTCTAAAGCACAACTTCCTCGAAACAAAGTTATTGCCAATTTCATTACTCTAAGGTAAAATTTCGTAAGATACTAATACAAACCAATTAAGAAATAAAATTCATCTCTTTATATAAGTATTTGTTCTTGAATATTGCACTTGGCCAGCACAGACACTGGATCTAAATCAACATCCAGTGGAGCTGGATAGAAACATCTCCCTGATGTCTGTGTTTCAAGAGTCCTGTCTCCTGTCCCCACTCGTCTGTCAGTACCTCACCGTGGAATCCTCTTCTGCCAAGCTCACAGGGTGCCCGACCCGAGCAGGCAGGTCAGTCTCCTTGGTTAAACAGGGCTAATCACGGGGTCGAAGACTTTAATTGGAAGAAATTTACGGGATTATGAAGGAATAAGTTAATTAAAAAATCTGTTTTAACCTTTATTATGATCTGGATAATGTCAGTAAAAAATGACTTCTATATTTTTCTATAAAATCAGTCTTAACTTAAGGGCTTACAAAGCTTCCTGGAAAGAAACCTTTCCTCTCTCTAACTTTAAAATAATTCCTCGCTTTTTGTGGTATACATGTAAGTAGTGGTGAAAGTGGGGCATCAGCCAGACCTGGAGAGAACAGGAAAAACAAATAATTATAGTTTAACTCAGCTAATATTTACATTTTATAAAGAGCATAGATACTAAAGCTGTATTTTTATTTCTAAGTACAAATTTGGAATTCTAAGAACAAGCTGGTATATATTTAGACAACAGTTTTCACAGTGGTGACATTTTTATTCTACTAAATTTCTATATATTTCTACATAAATGATGCAGGCTCTCTCTTATGCCAGATACAAGCAGAATAAGAGATTATAAAAATATTCAGCTATGATATTTGCCTATATTGTACAGAGCTGAAACACTGACCTGCTGGTGCCAAGGATTTCAGTGATTCTAAGAGATGTGGACTAGAAAACTTGACAAGACATCTGAATGGCTCTTTTATACCCGAGACATCCAGCACAGGGTTACTTTTAAACGTTGTCTCAAGCTGTTAACACAAAATGTACAGGGAGTATGAGCAAGGAATACATTTTATGCATACGTTGTTATTAAAACAATATAACAGACTGTGGCTCTTTGAATACTATTTGCAAAATATATGTGGTATTAAACAGAATACCTTATATCTGTATTTAAAAAAAAAATGATTATTTTGTATTATTATAGTTCTCTAACTTTTTGAGTAACCAGATCACTGTCGACCCTCAGGATTTTTGCTGGGCACGATACACCCAACAAAGCCAAATACTGTAGAGTTATATGCCTAGCAGTTTGTAGGGTGATGTGGGAAGTACAACTCTATTTTAACTTAGTTATGATAGATGACTTGTTTTCTCAGTGAGTTGCTGCTCTCAAATTCACCTTCTCTTTCAACAGACATCAAGTTGAAACAAACATGATTTAGATTGTTTCTTCAAACTGCTTTTTGAGCTAAGTAAAAAATGTTTAGCAACTAACTAGGTAATGAAAATATGTACTACAACTTCCAGCATTAAAAAACAGGAGATTCATAAACTTCTCTGAAATTATAAGGCAACTCTGATCAGGTTAACCATGAACTAGAGAAAGAATCAATTTGCTGTTATTTCTTAGTGTTAAATGATTCTGTTTTGAAGAATGTTTTTATTAATAAAATCAGAGGGTGCCACCATGTGGCAAACAATTCTTTGCTGAAAGACACAGCTTCCACAATTATGTATTAAAATATTAAGAAAGATCTCCTGGAATTTCTTATATATCTGTTTTTCAAAATATACAACCAACTAACAACAACAAAAAAAAACACCACAAGAACAATGCATCACCCGAGAAGTTGTTACGCTGTTAAAAAGTATTATGAGGTTAAGAGTATCTTAAGTAGCCCTAATTTCTCATACTTGAAAACACTGCTGTTTTTGTAATAAAGCTTAGAAAAACAAGTCAAAATACTTAGTTCACAAGGCTGAAAGACTTGAAAAATACAGTTCAGTGGTATGACCAAATCCCAGTGCAAATCTGTTTATAGAGTTTCAACTATCTTATTTTAAATTGCCCTCCTTAAGCTTGTGGCAGCACTAGAAAAGTTCTTTATTTGCAATTTAATGCAGCTAATTCTGCTGAAATTACAAAATCAAAATTTGATTACTTTTCCTACCTTATATTGTGCAAATTCAAGTTTTGGTTGGGGAGCATCACCAAAAACTTCACGATTCAGTCTCAGTATTCTTTCTTTTTCATTTTTGTTTTCTTGAATTATCCTTAAATCCACTGCAAGTGAAAGGATAGGAAAGAGAAGAGGAAAATCAGAAAAACTGCATCAGCAGATAGAATACCGCTTCTCTGATAAGGAATTGTCCAATGCGATGCAGGAAAAAACAAAAATCAATTAAAAAAGTCATCAATATTTTTTTCATAAGCCAATTGTCTGCTTCATATTTTCCGTTCTTATTAAGAATAACAAAAGAAGTCAATATGAAAGGCAACAGTGGGCACTGTGTATTCCTTGTTTCATAAGTATTGGTATGTTCCATGACTGTCAGTGGGAAATACCTCTCTTTAAGGTAAGCAATATTATGGCACCTCACCAGTATGGGCAATATAATATATATACTTTCACTATTGAATTGCACTCCGTAAGTGAGGAACATTTTTAAGTACGAATCTAACAAGTAATGATACTGAAACTGCAGTTTAATTTAAAATGTACATACCATTCTCTGAGGTTACATTCCTTTCTTGTAGGGGTCTTGGACAATACGTCTGGAAGGTCTAAATGAGAGAGGAAAAAAATAACCCTTTACTCCAACTTTTAGAGGATATAGCAGAAAAAAAATCTTTTTGGATTTCCATCTATTTCTTAAGTAAAATAAACCTTCCCCCTACTTTTTGACCATTATTGTAAGACAGGAAGCCTAACTTTGATATAAGTATTTCCAGCCGCCTATGGTATATCTGAACACTACTCTTTTACAAGTGTTACTTGGATGAAGAGGATAAATGCCCATTCCATTATTTTCCAAAATATAGTTTAGAAAGTCCAGTGAAATTATGCTAAAAAGACTTAAGATTAATTCAGTCATAGAATTTTAGACTAAGTTTAACCTTCAGGATACTAAGGTGTTAAGTCACCATTTTAATGTTACCTTCACGAAAAGCTGTCCACCTCAGTAGTTCAATATTATTGTAACACGATGATCTCTTGGAAATGGTAAAGTTTTCCCCTTGCTAGGGGGGTAAGAACTAGGCCTGAAGCAAGACTCATTTTAGGATGAACTTACAGATTGGCTCACCTGGCTAAATCTCTTAAACACAATATCTTGAAGGGAGCTTAAGCAATGACTTCGAAGCTCCATTTCACGGATGTCATGGTAATTGGAAGCCACAACCAGTGCCTTTACATGAAAATTAAAATTATGTTAACATCGATATTAATCATTATTGTGCTTATAATATGGAAAATATTGTATTTCTAGATAACCCAATGTTTTTACTTTAGGGTAAGCAACTGCCCTTTAATGAGCAGGATTCTCATGAGTGAAGAATGTGCAGTAGATTATTATTAAGGTTACTAAGGTTAGATTAAAACTTAACGGCATCTAGGAGATTAACTAGATAAACACACATCTTTATCAGGCCAATAATGCTAATGAAATAACCAAAATTAAGGTCTGTTAAATTGACCAAAAATAAGAAAAGTATCAATAACGATAACCAAAAGTTTTAACGTACTTAAAAAACATTTTTTTAATCCTGATTATCCTCTTTAACATAATTTAACCTCTTAAAAGGTAACAAGCAGAATTATAGATCTACAAGACTGTGGTAGAGTCAGGGACTACAGTTCTATTTTCTACCTGGCATAGCAGAGGTAAGGTGCTCCTAATCACTGAGGCAGAAATGAAGACATAGGGTGTCTGCGAATGGTATACAACATAGCTAGTTTTATATTGGTTTGGTTTTTTATATGGTGTTCCCCAAGCAATCCTAATCCAAATTGCATTATCCTCATATTCTCTAAAATTGATGGTAACCTAAAAAGAAAAAGCATAGTTTCAATTTCCTTGCACATTCAGATGTCTAGAAATATTTCCTTAACTCTAGTATCACATGACCCAAACATAACAACATAACAGATAGTACACACCTCTGCCTGAATAAAAACAAACCCCTCTAGCTTGGTCAGGATTGTATTTAAATCAAATTTCAGAGGAAAAAAAAACATTTTGGCTTAAAAAAAATAAGGAATATACATATTTCTTTTGAAAGAGTTTACATATACATGCATAAATACACATATATGAATTAAAAAATAAATCTTTCAAACTCCAACAGGGCTTTATTTTGTCCCCTCAGAAGACATATCAGCAAGAACAGAAATGGCTCACTACAAACCCTTGATTTTCTCTTTTGGGAGAGCAGCAATGCAACAACAACAAAAAGGTCGTTGTATTTAGAAGGAAGACTAGTAACAGTATTTCAAATATTTTTACTTCTGGTACATTTGCCAATTTTAGACTCAAGTATAAATATTTATCACAGGCTAAGAATTCATCATCATCAATCAGATTTCCTTCTCTGATCCTGTGGTTTTCTTACTCAGTTGCTGCTGACTTTCAACTTGACTTTTCTAACTCAACAAAAAAACTCCCTTTGATTCAGCCACAGCCAATCAAGCTCTCAGTCAACTAGGTCCCAAATTGTTTGTGGACCAATGTCACCTCTCCAAGTTTTTGTGGACTATCCTAATTAAAGGAGATGAAAAAAAAAAAGAAAGAAAACAATGCACTTCGAATGGATTTAGTCTTACATTTTTCAGAGCTGTCTTCAGTCGTCTTTTAAATTTTTTTTTGAAATCTGTTAAGTCAAAAAACTCTGTTTCTTCCCCTGTTAAACAAGAGATGGGAATTCTACTTACAAAAAATATTTCAAATATGTTTTTACAGTTTTGTCTGAAACAAAACAATGTAGAAAAAGCTAAAGTTGCCTAACAGGCGCTATATTAAATTTGAGTCTCATTATTGATACATAAAGAAAAAAATTAACCAGTAGCTATTAATTTATAACAGTTCTTTGCAAAGTTGAGCAAAAGTATTCTGAAAACATTAAATATATCTCTAAGGAAAATTCCAAACTAGAGTTTGTTTGTATTCAAAGCATATTATATGAGGTAATACTACTGTGCACTGGTAAAAACTATAACAGTGAGATTACAGCAAGGAAAGACATTTATCTACCTGATTTGTTCATCTGGTAAACACTCCATACTCTTTTGTTCGGATAGACATGGTTGTCTACGGAAAATAAGAATTGCCCAGTAACACAAAACATACATTAACAGGAAATTAAAGAAAAATTATTTTAAAATAGTTTTATGACCAATTTATTTCAAAGAGATAAATTCTAACAACAGAAATCTTCCGGCAGTCTTAAGCTACCATTAATGGTAAGTCTGAAAGCAAAACAAAAGAAATGTAGACTGGTAAAACTGCAATTAAAATATTAAATAATAAAATTAGAAATCAACACGGGAGTTAGAATTCCATCACTCCCTATATGAAGTAAGATAACATTGATTTTAGAGTTCTATGCATACCAGAGACAATTACCACAGCTGACATCTATTCAGAAGTCAGAAGAACAAACATATATTTTGGTTGATTTTGCAGCTTGTTACGCTAACAAAATAATAATAATAAAAAGGTCAGACAGATCCCATCAGATCCAACACCTCAAATGTCATCTGTTTACATCAAATGCATCTGTAGATTCACTGAGGCAATGCTATGTAATTAATGGAGCTACCAAGTTACTCAGAAGAAATATAAAGGTGTGAACAATAGTCATTTTCACTTACAAATTATGTCCAGGACTGCTGCTTGCTTTATGTCTGCAGAATTATCCTGGAAGGCAAAATGACAACAGATGGTGAACTGCAGAGCCAGAACACTGCATCACATTGTTTAGTAAGCGAAATATCTCAATCCGGGTAGTTTAAATTATTTGGATTGAACTGAAGTCCACAGCAGTCATGCTTTCCTCAAAGAGACTGTATCTCCCATATATGGGCTAAGACACTATAGTAAGCCTATTAGTACATCAGTAAGTACAACATCAGAAAGGTTGTTTATCTACAGGGTGCAGAATCAGAGCAATTTTGGCCAATATTTTTTTTTTTCCGAACATTGAACATGTTTGTCAAAACAAGCAAGCAAATCACTGTAAAATGAAAAAAAAAAAAAAAAAAAAAAAAAAAAAAAAACCTAACTTCATCACTTCACCACTCACGGGACAGTGCTATCAAATTCTATCAAATTCAGATGTCCATTAGCATATGTATATGATATAGCTCCCGAGATAGGTAGACAGCATCACTTACTATGCAAAATTGCAGAAACTCTCAGTATGTTTTATGAAAGCCAACCACGAGAGTATGTTCGCACAGAAACACAAGTTGGCACTTGCAGCACGTGTGATCATTCTTACACCACCAAAAAAAAAATCTACTCAGACCAAATAGATTTAAATCATCACCAGGAAACGAATAGATGTCGCAGTTAGGGCCTTCCTTTTTCAGTTTAGAATTATCCTTATTTGTTAAAGGTTCAAGACATTAAGCTTTAGTCAACCTTATGCAACTTACAGCTCAGAACATGCACTTCTATACTTCACATGGGCCAATGCTGCATTCATAGCAGACAGGTAAAGTCACTATTATCCCTAGCCTTACTTTATGTGAGCCAGAATTGCCATTTGATGCTGAGTTATGTCCACACTCTTCTGTCACCCACGGGCAATTCCTAGGTGGCAGGATTACCTCACAGAGCTGAACAACCTCTTGGGAAATGTTATCCTTGGTCTGACGGAAGTTCAAGGTTTGCAGCTGGGCCTCGGAGAGGAAGCCCCACATCTGCAGCATTGTCTTGATCTCATCGCGGGGTATTTTGAGCACAGTTCTCCTGATGTACTCAGCAACAGTCTCATCCATGGTGAAGCCACCTGAGAAACATAAGTGTTAAAGTAGCTCTCTGCAGAGGAAGGTTTTGTACAGCAGGCAAAGCTGCATCCAGGCACGGCCGGCAAAGCATCAGCATCACCCTGAGCACGGCGGTGCCACCACAAACCCGCATCCCACAGAGCTGAGGGCTCAGCTGCGAGGTCCTGCGGGCCAGGAGAAAGGCACAGGCGCAACCCAGGGCCCTTCTGCCCTTCCCTGGGCCAGGACCCCGTCCGGACTCGCTAAGGGGCCTCGGATCGCCCTCCCCTATAACGGCCCAGCTCGGGAAGAGGACGGGAAGGGGGAAGAGGACGGGAAGGGGGAAGAGGACGGGAAGGGGGAAGAGGACGGGAAGGGGGAAGAGGACGGGAAGGGGGAAGAGGACGGGAAGGGGGAAGAGGACGGGAAGGGGGAAGAGGACGGGAAGGGGGAAGAGGACGGGAAGGGGGAAGAGGACGGGAAGGGGGAAGAGGACGGGAAGGGGGAAGAGCAGGCGCCATGCGCACGCTCCTCCCGTAGCTGGGCGGCTTCCGGCGCAGAGCGGTGTCCGCTGCTCCGTCCCGTTCTTTTAAATAATTTTCTCCAAATAATCACTTTGCGTCTTAATAATGTTTGCCTAACACATTACAGTATTTTTTTCTCCTAAAGCAACTGCTATGTTTTCATAATATTACTTTTATACCCTACTAATATTTTTCTTTGAGCAATTGCTTCTTTCCCTGACATTTGTCTCTTATTTGTAGTATTTATCCACAATACTCTATTCTTGTGGCTTTCCAGGGGCTTTCAAACTGTTTGGACTCCTAACACCTTGTTTGACTGGGAATGTAACTCTTGCCAAGCTGAATGCCTGATAGAAAATACTGGGCACATTAGTGCAGGTGCCTCCCCAAAAAAAACTGTTACTTAAGTTTTCCAGGAGCAGCAGTGTGGACTGTTGCTCTCAGCACTGCGCTTGACTTCTAGGACAGAGCCTTATAGCTGTGACGGCCACTTAGCACAATGTGAGCCCAGCAACGTGAGCCCATTTGTCCTAGTGTGATCCAGATTTTTCTTCCTCCCTCCCCGGTACAGGATGATCTTCTGCAACAAATTTAAGCTGTTGTTATATGATATTTTCATCCTTTCCAATGAAAAAAAAAACATGAATGCATCAGGTTTTGTTTTGTTTGTAATGGGAGGCAATACAGAAATGTGTTTCTAGAATCGCTTTTGCTCCTGCCCCGTAGAGCTCTGTGGTGACGGACAGCAAATAAGACACGAGTTAGCAGTGCCGCCTTGCCGCGGTACCGGCAAACCGCGCGCTGGGCTGCGGTACCAGGCTGGTAACCAGCAGGTCAGGGGAGTTCCTGCCCTCCTGGTGCTCCTGAGGCCACGTCTGAAACTGCATGTTCAGGCGTGGGCTCCACAGTCCACGAGAGCTACAAGAAAAGTCGGGATCCCAGCAGAGTGCAGCTAAATTGGGCAGAGTCTGGGACAGATGGTGTGTGAGTAGAGGTTAAGGGAGCTAGGCCTTTTGGCCCATTTTAGGCCCCTTTAAAGAGAAGGCTGAAGAGAAACCTGGATGTTGTGTTCTATTACTAAGCGTGCCAGGATGTCCTATTGAAGGTGCTTTTCAGAAGGGCTGAAAAGGAGAACCCGGATGCTCTTCAGAGATGCATAATGAAAGGGTTAGAGGCAACGATGCAAAGAGGCAATAAGGGAAGTTCAAACTAGATTTAAAGAAGAAAAAAGTAATTACCATTAGAGTACTGTTTTTAAAGCATGATCAGTGCTTCACATCAGAATTCTTAAAAACATGGAGATAACAACTAAAAAGGAGGCTTGCTCTGAGTGCAATAAAATATCATGTAGCTTCCTGTTCTGTATCCCTCTGTGTGCAAGGTGGAAAGAAAACTACTTATTCTTAGCTTTTCCTAAGCTAGAAACAAGCAAGCTGGTGAGGGACTCCCTCCTTACTCTCCTCACCAGGCACCTGCACACACAGAAGAGGGCTACGTCGGTCGGGAATTTAGGATTAAAGGAGGCTGTGTCCTCCGGCAGCTTGGGAGGCCCGTAGGGTGCCCCCAACCGTGCGCGTACAGAGGGCCTTGGAGGCTGCAGAAAGCCGGTACAGCCTCCCTGGCGCAGTGGGCGCAGAGGCCCCGGGAGGCCTCACGAAAGCCAATAGGGCTTCCCCAGGCCCAGTGCGCACAGAGGTGCTGGGAGGCTCCGTGAAAGCCTGTAGGAACCCAAGCCCAGGGAGGGCGCATGAAAGCCCATAGGGTCCCTCTGGCCCAGTGCACATGGAAGCGCCAGGAGGCCACACAAAAGCTGTAGAGCCTCCCCGGTCCAGTGTGCACGGAGGCCCCGAGAGGACGCAGGAAAGCCTTAGGGTATGGTTTAGGGTTAGGGTTAGGTGGTTGTGTTAGCATCAGGGTTAGGGTTAGGTGTTCCTTTACGGATAGGGTTTGGGTTAAGATTAGAGATACAAATAGAGTTACGGATTAGCATTAGAGGTAGAGGTTTTGATTATGATTAGGATTAGGGTTAGTGTAAATTTTAGATTGGGGTTTAGTTTAGAGGTATAAGGTTAGACTATGGTTAGGATTAGAGTTACGTTTAGGGATAGGTTGTATTTTGGGTTAGGTTAGGGTTAAGATTAGGTTTAGCCTTAGGATTAGGGTTAGAGATAGGGTTAGATTTGAGTTAGGGTTATGCTTAGGGTTAGTATTAGAGTTAGGCATTCAGGTTAGTTTTAGGTTAGGGTAGGCTTAGGGTTAAGGATATCACTAGCAGTAGGATTATGGTTATGTGGGAGAGCGTATCTCAAGCTGACTGTCTCAAAGCTTGTATGCCTTTCTGCTGAATTTGAATTTCTGCTGAATTTCTGCAAGAACCGAGCTCAGCAGCTGTGAAGAGATAAGGAACAAACAGTTATGCAAAACTAGTTTTTGGCCGGGGTCAAGGAACGTCCACGCTGCAGTGGGGGATGTGTATCACCCCAACCTGACGAGGCAGGGAGGCAGGAATGATGTTGCTCAGGAAACATCCCCCTGGATACCCTATAAAACAGTCCAATTGAACAATAGATGGTGATCTAGAGACCCCCACCACTAACATACCTGGAAACCACGGACCAACAGGACGCCACTGGATCCATGTTGGTGACTTATCTCTTGCAATCCTGTCCAGAATGCTTGCTACATTTCCTTCTTTCCTATCTTTCCCTCACTTTCCTATCCCTATTTTCTTGCCACAACACATGAATATTTTGTTTGTATAACTGCTCAATAAACTTCCTTAATCGGCAGCATTTGACCTCATTTGTGTCTTAATCTCACTCTGGGTATAAGAAAGCATCTTCCTGGTTTGGGCCTCCCCAGGCCTCAGGGTCTAGGGTTAGGGTTGGGGTTAGCGTTAGGTTTAAGTTCTTCTAGTGTTAGTTCAGGGTTAGTCTTAAATTAGGGTTAGGATTAGGGGTTAGGTTTAAGGGGATAGGTTAGGTTTAGGGTTAGGTTTAAGTAGGGGTTAGGCTTTGGTTAAGTTTAGGTTTGCAATTATATTTAAAGTTATGATTGGGGTTAGGGTTAAGGTTAGTGTTAGGGTTTAGGTTGAGGTTTGGGTTTAGTTAGGGCTAGGGAAAAAATTAGCTTGGGCTTAGATGGTTAGGGTTAGTTTAGGGTTAGTCTCAGGGTAAGGGTATTAGGGTACAGTTGGGTTAGGGTTACAGTTTGGGTTAGGCTTACAGTTAATGTTAGGGGTTAGTCTTAGCAGCCATAACTTGACTATGTGGCCTTCAGGACTTCCCAGATTTTGCTGCTTTCCTCTCTAGGCTTTTGGTATCCTTCACTGGCTCTGAAGTTAGGCTAGTGTGAGTGGCATCCCCTACCTTATTACCTGCTTCCCTGAGGATACCCCTCTCCCCCCTCAAATCTAATGTAAAGCCTTCTCAATGATCTCATGACCAGGGACCCCCATGAGTGGGAAGACATTTTGGGAAAAATTAATCCCATCTGGTGCCAGCATGCCTGGTGCCACATAAGGCTTCCTATTGCTGAAAAACCCAAAGTTGTGGAGATGACACCAGCCATGGAGCCACATGTCAACGGACTGTATCCTCGTTTCTTTCTACATTGCTGCCAGCACCAGGGAGAATGGAAGAAAAGATGACCTGCACACCCGAGTTCCTGACTGTTTGGCCCAATTCCCTGAAGTCCCTTTCGACTGCCCTCAGGCTACGTGTTGCCACTTCTCCTCCCACACGTAGGACCAGCGATGGATAACTGGGAGGTTTCTTGGTGACATCCTTAACCCAGGCCCCGGGAAGGCAGCAGGCTTCCTTTACAGAAGGGTCTCATCTGCATATCAGACCCACTGCTCACTGTATTGAGGAACCCCCCACGACTATAACCCGCCTTTTTTTTCCTCCTGCTGGTGGTCACAATACAGGGGGGTTGCCTTCCAGACTGCACTAATGTTTTGGAGGAGAGGGACTCTCGTCTTCACCATCATCCCAGGCAGGTGCCTGGTGAAGCCTCAGGGGCACAGGGAGCTGCTCGCAGGGTCACAAGAGCCCCGGGGCCCGAGCACCACTGCAGGGCGCAGCACCGAAGGGCCACGCAGCCAGCGAGCAGCTCCTCCTGGGGTGACCTCTCCTGCGGCAGCAACGCTCCCTGGCACCGGCGGGGGGCGGCGGGGCACCACAACCC